ATCGGATTCCTGGGTTTGCGACACCATCAGATTTGGCCTGGCTCTAGAATTTCACTCCACAACCCCGAACTTTTTCATGAAATGCCCTCTCTCCAGGGACCCAATTAAAAGGAACCTGATGCAGACAGAGATCAATCACTTACTGGAAATTAAGGCCATCCAACCGGTAGCCCGGGATCAACAAGACCAGGGGTTTTACTCTCTTCTTTTTGTAGTCCCTAAGAGTTAGGGGGGATGGAGGGCAATACTAGATTTAAAACAACTTAACCGTACTCTATCGCGAATTTAAAATGAGTACGTTGTAATCTATTCTGCTTAGCATAAGGGCGATTTTTTTAACTTCCATCGATCTGACAGAGGCCTACCTACACATACCAATTAGACCTTATAGCCTTCTACTATAACAATCAACATTTTGAATATGTCGCCCTGCCCTTTGGGTTGTCATCTGCCCCAAGGACCTTTACAAAGGTTCTGGCAGCTCTGGCTGCCCACCTTCGGGACACTTCTGTCAGACTCCAATGCTACCTGGATGACATTTTGATATTCTCTTCCTCATCCAGGCAGGCAGAATTGGATACTCAAATTACATTGCGAACACTTCAACAACTCGGTTTTTCCATTAACTGGGCAAAGAGTCACTTATCTCCCTCAACTCATTTATCTCACCTAGGTTCGGTAATAGACACTGTTAAGGGACGAGTGTTTCTATCCCGAGAGGCAGGAGCATCAAGAACATAGCTCAGACTATCTGAACCCTAAAACAGGTTCCTCTGGCCGATTTGTCAAAATTACTGGGGAAAATGATCTCCTGTATCTCTATTATTCCTTGGGCCCGGTTCCATGCTAGATCACTCCAATGGTTCTTCCTTCCATACCAAAGATCAGGGCAAAGCAACTCCAAGACCCGAGTATTTGTTCCAACAAAAGTCCTGCTCTCTCTACACTGGTGGACCGTTCCAACCATCAACAAGGGTTGTCCTCTGAAAGAGCCCCACAGACTCACCATCACCAGATGCCAGCCTGTTTGGATGGGGAGCACACTCCCAGTCCCCCTTGGCTCAAGGATGTTGGTCAGCAGCAGAACGATCGAACAGCATAAATTGGTTGGAACTCAGGGCAGTCCATCTAGTCCTTCGCAGTTTCCTTCCTCATATTTGAATGAGAAACATCCTCATACTTACAGACGTCACAACCAAAGCACATATAGACAGACAAGGGGATACCCACTCAAAACAACTCATGTGGGAAGCAAAGACTGTGCCTTTGGGGCGGAAAGGAACTTGGGCTCCATCACAGCGGAACATATTTCCGGACTGACAAACACACAGGCAGACTGGCTGAGCAGGGCCACAGTCGACCAATCAGAGTGGTGCCTGCACCCAGATCTGTGTCAGGAGACGGTTCAGAGGTTCAGTCTGCCAGTTATAGATCTGTTCGCTTCTCCCCTGAACTCGCAGCTCCCGAGATTCATTTCAAGATACCCATCCCAGGGGGCGGAGAACATCAACACCCTCCGTTGCCAGTGGCCCCAGGGACTCCTCTATGCCTTCCTACCTCTCCCATTGATACCCAAGGTGATCCAAAAGCTGCTGGACGAGAAAGCGGAACTGATCTTGGTGGCACCATACTGGCCCAGGAGGCCATGGTTCGCGGATCTCAGGGGCCTGTCCATAGAAGAACCATGGAAAATTCCACCGCACAAAATTCTGCTCACCCAGGGACCGATCCAACACCCAGACCCTCAATGGTTACACTTAGCCGTTTGGAGGTTGAGCGCAGACATCTAAGAAAGGAGAATTTCTCGACCAGGGTGATCAACACCATTCAAGCAGCTCAGGGTCCTTCTACAAGCCGTATATATAATGCCACATGGACTATCTTTTATAAATGGTGCACTAAATCCAAGGTGGACCCATTTTCACCATCAGTGGCACAAGTTTTAGAATTTCTTCAAGATGGTCTCAACAGGGGTCTCTCTCCAAACACTTTGACAGGTGGCGGCTATTGCCTCGGTGGTGATCTGGGAAGGTCTAACATCCATCTCCCTCCACCCACAGATAAAGAGTTTTCTTAGGGGCGCCACAAATTTATGTCCACCAGTGATCCATTGTTACCCTACCTGGGACCTTAACAAGGTACTCACAGCATTCACCAAGAGTCCATTTGAACCTCTGAAAACTACTAGTCTCCATTTTCTCACATGCAAGATAGTTTTCCTCATAGCTATAAGCACGACGTATCTCAGAAATAGCTGCTTTATCAGCCCGAAAGGACCTCTATATATTTCATACTGACAGAGTGGTTCTTCGCCCAGACCCCACGTTCACACCAAGTCAATTCTGCTTTCCACAGGACACAAGAACTAGTACTCCCAAACTTTTGCCCAAAGCCTTCTCAGGGCCTAGAGCATCAATGGCATCGACTGGATGTCCGCAGAGCTCTCTGTACATACCTACATCGAATGGTTCCTTTCCTTTCAGGAAGCCCTGAAGCCCTTTTTATATCTTTTCAGCCAACTACTCAGGGGCAGAAGGTCTCACCTTCAACGATAGGCAGGTGGCTGAAGGCCACGATAGCCAAGGCATACGAGACTCAATCATTACCCGTGCCTAGAGGCATCACGGCGCATTCAACAAGGAGCGCAGCAACTTCAGCAGCCTGGGCCACGCAAGCTCCTATAGCAGAAATACGTAGAGCGGCAACATGGGTCTCCCCATTGCCTTTCATTAGGCATTACAAAATTGATATATTTGCTTCTGCTGAGGCCTCCTTTGGTAGGAGGGTGTTACGAGTCCACTCGGACAGTGCTGGGGCTCCAATCCAGATGGAGACCCTCCCGTAGGACAAGCCAAGCTTTGGTATGTCCCACTCTCTGGATGCTCAGAGCTCAATGGAGAAGGGGCGTTGGTACTTACCTGATACGCCCGGTCTCAGTGAGCTGCGACGAGCATCCAGCCCCACCCAATATCCATCTGGTGGGGTCCTGTTCCGGCCAATCAAGATATACGTAAAAAAAAAGAAAGAAAAAAAAGAAAATGAACATGACAATCGAGAGGGTGGGGGTTGCATCACCTTGTCTTCGCCAAAACTGGGGGACGCTAGGGAGGAGCCAGGGAGGAGTAACAGTGTCCTAGTAATTAAGCCCAGCCTATCCGAGCAGACTAAGCACCTCCCACTCTCCGGATGCTTGTTGCAGCTCACTGACAATGGGCGTATCAGGTAAGTACCAACGGCCCTTTTCATGGACTGGGTGTGTGTGGTTTCACATGCTGCCTGGATGGTACTTTGCTCACTTGTGCGGCCCAGTTCCTACTGCATTATAAACAATATCTGCATCTTAGCACTATATACCTGTGTCCCACAAAATAAATATAGAGGCCTCATTTTTGCAAGTGGTCTTTAATTTTTGCTTTCAATATGAAGATAAAAATGAAGATAAATCAGCACACAAAGTGTAATAGGCCTTGACTCATTAAAAGCAATATGCTAGAAAGCGAGGGCCATAATTAGATATGTGTAACTGTCTTCTTAGGCATTCTGCAATGGCTTTGTAAGTTAAAAGCTACTGTTACTTGCCTGATTTTTCTATAATGTCAAGCCAGATACTGTACATGATTTTGTCCCGAGTGATTATGTTCAAGAAAATACTCAAAAAAAAATCAATTCATCAAACAATATTTCTATCACAGAAAGAATGGCAGTATTTAGTGTTCTTTTCTGTAAAACTGAAAACCCTTCTGAAGAAAATTAAATTATGCAGAGGAATGAGAAATCTCTCAACAAATACTACTATAGTGCCTGTGGCAAGGATGTTAAGAGACAGATTTGCTCTTTATAGTTTTCTAAATGCTACACAAATACCAGGTGACTTACCACAGAATATAGGCCAAAAGTTGTGGGCAGTCATCAGAAAGATCCCATCCAAGCAGAAACGACAGCAGTTTAAAAATCAAATAGCTAAATTCACTACATTGTGAAGTCAGCAGAGAGCATAAAAAAATAATAATAAGGATTTCTTTCTTTTGCAAGAACACTAGACAGTTCGGGTCAGACTGAAAGAACTTTTTATATTTCCATCGCCCCCTCAAAACGTTCAGCTGCTTTGAATTATGAATCACTTCCTTGAATACTTGAAAATGTATTGCTGATCTACACAATAACCTCATTGTACAATAAGTTCTATTCCTTTAAAATTCTTTTTAAAAAAACCCATTCCTTTAAAATGGTGGCCCTTCAACTACAATACTGTGGTTCTTAAGAGAGATCCTTAGACATGCTGCTTAGCACCCTTTTCTGTAATATATAAATGAAAGAGACAACTGAATGCAGCAATGTAGCACACGCCTGATTTATGTAGACCTATCAAAAGTGCTCCCACATGATCTTAGATATTGGGGAAGAATTTTAGGTCTGATAAGCAGAGATTTTTCTATTATCATATAAAAGAAGATGAAACAAAGATTGAAAATCACTTAACTAAAAGCAATAAATATGCTTTTACTTAGGTGAAACTGTGCTTTCTAGTCTCACAGGATTCCACTGAAATTAAAACTATAAAAGGTTCAGTCTCAGCATGATATACATTATCTCCTTGAAAAATAGAAGACAAGATTGTTTGAATTATTATCTAAATACTTCAGAAGTCTGCCTGACTTTAAGCTACATCACAGGTACTCTAATATTTGCTAGATTGATAATTATGAACCGTGAACACAGGGTGGACACATTCCAAGGATCTGCCATGTTACTGATGGGTTTTGGCAGTTTGTATGTTTTCCCTCCATAGGTACTGTAATATATTTTAGTGTAGCCAACCCCAAAACACCCACAGAGTAGCTAAAAGTGTTAAGTGGCTTCGAGTTGTAGTTTGTTGGTTTTAGGAAGAATGTAGATCACCACATCTCAAAGCGAGAATACTCAGAATATGCATGCGCTGTAAGCCGGAAGCTTGTATTTAAGGACAGTAGGTTGTTGGTACTTAGGAACAACCTGCTCACCTCGTCTTCCTTCAAACACATCACTGATTTCTCTTAAGAGCAAGGACATGTCATTCAGCTGAGATTCCCAAGCCTCACAGAATACATCCAGATTTTCTTTTGCAATTTTACTGGAAGGATGCAATGTCAGAGTTTCAGCAGCAGAAATTATCTGAAGGAAACAAAACAGGCTGTCATACATATACAATTCTGTATCAGCGTCCACCTCCACAGGACAAAAGATAAGCTGTCTCTCATTTGTATTAAAAAAGGCTATATAGCATTTGCTAACAAAGCTTTTTTTAAAAACAGAGGACTTTCATAGGGAATACTATTGTATTATAAGTTGTATTAAGCGACTGGCAGTTTTAAACTAAGTAAGCTGAGGGAATATAACTGTATTATAAGAAATCTTACTTTCAAGAAGATTTTGAAAAGGATTATTAATTTATTCTTCTGATGTAGGGAAGGTCTTCCAACAGAGTGAAATGGCTCTAAAGAAGCACTTCACTGATTATATTATCAGGAACAGTTATTGTGAATCTAGCATCATAAATCATGCTGGCCATGATTATTGTTTATTAAACATGATTCCCTATCCAGAACTTTCTTTGAAGAGATTTGTTTTGTTTTGCTGACTAAGTATTTAGGAAGTCTGTATGTATGTTTAACTTAATAGTTAAACTTAATAGTTAAAAGATACTTTAATATTATTATTCCATGCCCAATATATCTTTTCCATTATGAAATTGATCTATTTTCAAATATTGATGGAATATTGACCTATTTCCACATGAGAACAGTACATATTATGGACAGTTTTCAGTTTCTGGCACCTGAAGCTAAAGTATTTGAAACAGAATTGAAAAATTCAACTGGAGCAAATAGTCATATAAAATTACAAATACCTGAGGCCCAGTCACATGAAAAGTATCTTCTGCATGGAGACAAGTAATTTCAAGTGGCTCTGTTCCAGAGACATGTCTCAATAGATGGCACATCTATACAGAGAAACAAAACAATCCAACATAATAATAAAACCTAAGTATGAATTGTGGAATTTTTATGGAACATATATGGTGGATACCAACTGAATCTTTTAATATACATTGAAGGTCTAGATATACAATATCTAGAGATTCAGGTTTATTCTTGGTAGAAAGCTGAACATCTGCCTGACATCTAAGCTGACATCTGACAATCGTTTGTCATCTGAACTCCTGTCTCTCCAATCTTGACCTTTCAATTATCCTAAATAAGCCAAGGAACATATGGCTGGGGCAAAGACTGAAAGGAAGTAGTCAAAGCTAGGAAAACTCCCTGAAATTCTACTTCTTTCTATTTTTTTAAAAAAGATATTTGATGTTATCTGTAATCAATTTCCCCCAGGATTGTTAAGAATCAGGTGGCATACCAGTTTAATTAACTATAGTTGCTGTTATTGTTATTATTATTTTGTTCCATTAGCATGCTTACTTCTCCTTTTGAATCAATGGTATGAAAAATATGGTAGGACCGGTACAACTACTAATCAGCTGTTGGTTTTAAGAACAGATATCCCGTCTCCAAGCAGCTTTCACCAGAAGGGCGTTCTGAAGAATAAAGCAGTAGCACAAACACAGCACCTCAATTCCAAAAATCTGAAGATTTTCTGTAAAAATTCTTGTTGAGTTCTTGTCAACTCGTAAATCATTCCTATGTCTGTTTCCTAGTTGCCATGGGAGAGGGAAGGCCTGAGGGAGCAGTGCAGCAGATGAAGGCCAGAAGCACATTCCAAAATCCTTCATTGGAGAGTGTGATTGACGACACCCAGCCCTAAATGTGTTTCATTGGAGAATCTGATTTATGACACATCCAGGGAGGTGGGAGGAAACAGGGTCATAGGTGGTAGTAAATTACATGTCTCAGAGTTGGCTTCATAGGGTTAGTGCCAGACATGTTGATCCTAATAAATCTTGGATTCTTTTGAAGCTTGGCTTGAGGCTCATGATTTAATTGAGGCTCATAATTTAATCAGAGCAATCATTGGAACCCTGACAGTTCTCTTACCAGAGTTGGGGATATTCCTTTTTACTTACTTTGGTGAAGGAGAGAGGCAGCAGTTGGTCTTTAAATGATATGGTGGGGTAAGTATAAAAAAGTGGGCTGGGCCAGGATAAAAATTAAATGTATATACAAAGAAAACACAGCTCATCTGATTATTCCCTGTGCTAATAGTAATTCCTGACCCATTAAAATTGCAATTCAGCAATATTTTTTTGAAGAGAATGAAGATCGGGGGCACATATATGACCACTGAAAGGGTATTCCTGCCTAATCAAATCTCCCAGCCAACTGCAGTAGTTTTTATGGTAGCAAGCAATTACTAATACCACTATTAAAGAAAAAAAAATGATAATTTTAATGAAGTACCCCAAATAAGCGGAATTTAGGTCATCTTTCTGAATATAACCCAAACTTACTTCGATCAATTGGTCTTTCTGTTCAGACAGCTTATAGCTATGCTCTGCAATAGCTTCTATATTTCCTTCTGCTCCAGAGGCTTTCAGCGCTTTCAAAACAAGGTGATCAGAATGAAACTTTATCAAGTCTGCTGCGACAGATATTGCTGCAATCTGGAGCTTTGATATTGGAAAAATTAACACAAAACAATGGGAATTTGGAGTTAGTTATTTCCAGGCACTAAGAACATTTATACAAAAGCCATGGATGTTTTTATTTTGGAATTTGGCATAGCTGTTCAAAATTGTTTTGGTGGACAACTAAATAAAAAAACGCAGAGATAGTGACATGGCCGTTAAGTGAAACTGGTTTCCCCATTGACTTTGCTTGTCAGAAGGTCACAAAAGGGGATCACATGACCCTGGGACACTGCAACCGTCATAAATATGAATCAGTTGCCAAGGGTCTGAATTTTGATTACCTGACCGTGGGGTTGCTACAACAGTCATAAGTGTAACTTTGACTGGTCACTGTTGTAACTTTGAATGATCGCTAAATGAACTGTTGTAAGTTGAGAACTATCTGTATTTAAAAAAATCTCAAACACATATGGTTGATCTGAAGTAGTAATTGTTCAAAGTAGAAAAAATATGAACCAATATAGGGCTTATAGAGCAAAGTATTTCCAGTTTGAATTTACTAAACCATTTATCATTTCCCTTCTGGATGCTGGCATCCTATTAGACCTGTTAGTCCTACATATCAGCAAATGATTATATTATCTGATAGGCAGAGGTCTTGGATACAGACTTGAAAACTGCTTCCTGAAAACAACAGTATTAATTTAAAAAATATCACAAGTATCTAACCTTCATGGTCGCAAAGATATATATGAAAAAATGTGGGTGACACTATAAAAATCTAAAAAGGCTTGCACTGAAAAGAGTAAGAATATTTGTAACATTTCTGTTAGGGGTAGGTTTTCTATGTATTGCAGGCTTCCAACAAAACAGAAAATGTGGGCAGAATAAGAATTCACTGAAATAGGTCTCATAATTTATTAAAATATTTTTAATGCAGAATTTTGATTCTTTTGACATGTAATTGTAGTGTTCTTCCTCAGCATTGTTTGTTCATATTATTGTTCATAATCCTTGCAATGTTCTTTGCTGCTACAAACAACCAATCTGCCAGAAGCAAGAAGAGGATTAAGAAAGGATAACCCCCTACTTTATCCTTGCTCTCCTTCCAGGAGGGAATTAAGTAAACTGGAATAAAACCAAAAGTATGCTAAATAATCCACGGAGACAGAAAATTAAACATATAAGAGACTTATAAGACAAATTCAGAGGATTTCCATAGAAATTCAGAGGATTTCCATTTCCACAACCAGCCTTAGAATTCTCTCTAATTCTAAAAAAACAACAATAGTGGGTAATACAACTGTTGTACTCTAAGGACTGTAAGGCTAAACTGCTTCTCTGCTTTTGCTCTTTTCTTAAACATGCCCAGTCATGTTACAGTTTGGGAAGAGACTGTTGCTCAGCAGAAGAATACATACTTTGCATATAGAGATTATTATGTTCAAATCCCAGGGTCTTCAACAAAAATTAAAACTTGTTGGGAACAAAGACATCTGCAAGATCCAATGCTTTTGTCAAAATGTGATAAATGTACAAAAGGGACAGAGTTCAATTGCAACCTTGTTTTCATCAGTTGACACACCCACTCTCTAATGTCTCTTTGTTGATGAAGTTCTCTCTGTGAATAAAAGCGATTTTAAGAGTAATCTTTGAGAAATGCTCTTTTCTTGTGAATTGTTATATCCCTTTTTTGAGAATTTTCTATTTCTTTCAGTCTAGGCAGGAAACCATACCATCAGTTTGTAGCAATCAAGGTCGGAGGGACTCTGAAGGCAAAAGGCTGATACACTACCCACATCTATGCAGCTCATAAACTTGAGTATTAAAAGTGAATTGTTATGAATACAAAGCAGGTAGATTCTGAAATAATACCAAACAATTTGTATTCCAGCATGAAAATTATGCCAGCAGGCTTCCACTCAAAACAACCTGTTGGTTAAATGGCAAAGTCAGACAGTTGGAAACACTGTTATATCATTATATCTCTAATGAGATTATAATAATTCAGTCTGAGGAATCATAACTCTAAAATATATTCCAGATTATACTGAGTTCTAACTTACCTCTCTTTGAAGCTCATTCATGCACTGGCACGTCTTTAGAATGGATATTTCCAAGTCCTCTGTGACATCTCTTTTCTTCTGATTTTGCTAAAGAAAAATAATTTCAAATTCCATAAATTCATTACTTTAAGTCATTTGCTCTTTTATATATTAAAATAAAACAGTAATTTTATCTGGAAGAAAGGCTCACTGAACCTTCAAATGTGGCTTTGAAAATATATGCCTAAAATAGAGATGCATGAATTCTACATTAGTTCATATATCGTGCGGAACCATGGTTTAATCATAGTTTGTTGAATAAGAAACAATTGACTGATTTACACAATGTGCTGAACAATATGCTTAGCTAAAATCAAACCAGTTTATGGTTTAGTGCAATATAAGAACTCAATAAATTTCCATATGAATAATTAATCACAATAATCAATTTTGTTCCTATTTAGCAAAATTTGTTCTGAAATATATTGTTGCTATGACAAACCTGTTGCTTGAAAGTTTAGCTGGATTAATGCATCACACTAATCCAGTGTTTGCTTACATAGTTTTCCAAACCATAATAGTTGTGTTCATACATCAAACGAACCAAAACCAAATGAAGCATACTTTAACTTAGGGAAACATGTGATGCCAACCATTGTAATTTGTAAATTGTGGCTTTACAGATGGCATACAGAAAGATATACTGCTCTAATGTATAGTATGTTGTAAAGTCAATAAATAGATTTGTTAAGCAATACTGCATATACAGGTAGGTTATGATCTATTGTTCAGCAACCAGTCAAACTAGTGATGACACTGAACAAATAGTATTTATAACAGAGTTTTAGCTATTGTAGTGTTTTCATGGTCATGTTTGTTATCTAGGTGTTTGGTGCCCTCCTCACAATTATGACATCATAATGAGCCACAGTCATATGATCACAATTTCTAATGTTCCCTACTGGCTTCCCAGTCAGCTATCAGCTTATTTACTGACCCATGTGGTCACTGCTTAACAAGGACAACTGGGACTGCAAGAACTGTTGCGGTGAAGTGAAATGGTCATGTGGCAGAACACTTTATAACCATTGAGCTTACCAATGGCAATTTTGTTCCCAATTTTAATCTGAAGGCTCGCCTCTATTTCAGTTCTATATGATTTCAATTTCTTCCCTACATTTTGAGAAAATTTAAATCTTTAGTTCTCCACATGTATTGGGTTTAACGTTTTCACATTGCCCATATTAGCTGAGAGTAGTGGGTACTATTGTCCCACTCTCTATAAAGATCACTGGAGGATAAATTACAACAGTAAACAATAGTAGCACAGCAGAGGACAAATATGTACTATATATATATCTTTTTCTGAATCTGTTAGAGAAAAGTTGCATTTATAAAAGGAATTATATTGAGATTTTGTTCTGATTTAGGTAAACATTTGTAAAATCCGGTTTTAAATGGCAAGGGTGGATTGCTCCATAGAATCTGCAATACAGGGATGATACACATTATTATGTAGAGTGTATAAGCTGATTTAGTATCGGTATTATTCTAAAACCAACTGAGAAGAAAGTGTTTCTTACAGCACTGATCCAGGCTGACACCAACTGCTCCAATTCAATCTTTGCTTGCTTGGAGAGTTCCAAGATGCGTCCCCGTGTTTCATGGCTTGTATAAGCAGAATCAGTAAAATCTTCTGTGAGTTCAAGGACAAGACGCAGCAATGCTCTAAGATTCTCCTTTGGCAGAAGATAAAGGTTTTCTCGCAGACCTTCCACTTTATTCTGAAAAGAGAGGAAAGGGACACGTGATATACTAAAAAAAGCAAAAAAGACTGAAATACCAGCGCAGTTACAGTATGCCAGTTAGGAGAAAGGCTTAGAATCAAAGCTCCCTTCCATCACTTGACCTAAAACAGTGATGGCTAACCTTTTCAGCACCAAGTGCCAAAGAGTGTGCACACCCCCAAAATAAAATACACATGCACGTCCCCATGCATGCATGCACATCCACGCCCCCATGCATGTGTGCACATCCCTCACGCATGCACCCCACCCCGTGCTTCTGTGCATATCCCCATCACCAGGGATGGGATTCAACCGGTGTTACTACTGGTTCGGTAATTACCTTTTGCTGTGCGTGCGTATAATACACGATCAGCTGTGCCGCCTGGACAGCTAAGCGCTGTGCATGGGTGCGCAGCGTTTGAAAAACCACTTTTTTGCTGCTTTTTCAACCTCAGCTGTGCCGTGCAAAGCAGTTGAGGTTGAAAAAGCAGGAAATAAAGGTCAGTTAACAGTCCGGGTGGGTGGGTGGGCCAAACAGCAACAGACACAGAACCAGTTCTGTGTCTGCTGCTCTTCAGAGCTACCAGTTCTATAGAGCCGGGCAGAACCAGTAGCATCCCACCCCTGTCCATCACAGACCTAAAACAAGCCACACATTCTCAGCCTCCCACCTGTAATAGATCTAATTGTTGTTAATATGTATTCCATCCTAAACTATTGCTTAAAATCTTTTAATTGAATTTAAGATGGCATCTCAATGTCTTTATGCTGACTATGCACATCTCACGATTGAGATTCATGCATCAGTTAATTTGAGTTAATGAGACAGTTAATTTGGTGTCTTGCCAATGTTTGGGGTAACTGCTGGTTAGGATTGTGATGAGTCGGGGTTCAAAAGATTCAGAAGGCATCAAGTTTCCCAGTCTCAAAACACATGTAGATGTTTGTTTCTACTACAGTTTACAATTAGAGCAGCAGTAGAAAAATGTAAATCTTTAAAATTTTATAAATACGACCCATGTCTAACACATGGGTCAGAGAACACCCACATCCTGCTGCATTCTTTTCAGAATACAGAAAGGATAACGGACTTCAGTGAGATAATTTCATTTCCCACACGGCAATAACCTACACACAACCATCTATGTAAAATGGCTGATATGAACAGGGAATTTACCAGATGATATTTGTGCAAAGCACTTTCCAAGTGATCTGTCAAGTTTTCATATACCCACCTCCCCTCAAAAGTTGGGTTGAAACAGGCAAAATTGCAAGAAAAATAATCATAGTGCTCCAGTGAGATATAACACTAAGAAGATTATATTATAGAAAAGCCATATAGTATAGTAATACTTATTACAAGTAGTCCTCGACTTATAATGGTTCATTTAGTGACCATTCAAAATTACAATGGCACTGAATAAAGTGTATTATCACCATTTTTCACACTTACTGTGATCCTAACTTATTAACTGCAGGAATTCACTTAACAACTGTGACAAGAAAGAATGTTAATTGATGCAAAACTCACTAAACAAATATCTCACTTAACCACAGAGCTTTGGGGCTCAATTGTGGTTGTAAGTCAAAGACTACCTGAATATAGTTTTGCCATTTTTAATACACATTAGAAGTTACCAGCATATTGGGTTGGAGTTATGAGTACATTTCAGCAAATTGGGTCAACTATTTAGTAGTCTAAGTTGTATCCAACATTATCTACCTTTTTAGTGAACCACCTCCACCAAGATACAGACACATTCTCCTCTAGGAAGTATCATATTTCAATCATACATATACAGGCAGTTTTTAGTTCATAAAATCCTGGACAGATTATGAACAAAGTGCACTGTAAAGTCTTGAACATACTTAAGTATTTGAAAATCACTTGAAAGTTCAAATCTGAACCAGTGGTGGTATTCTACCAGTTCTGCCCGGTTCTGCCAAGCCGGTAAGGCCGATGAGCAGCAGAGACCGAATTTTATTCCATGCTTTTGAAGTACAGCTGCTTTGCGTGGCATAGCAGAATGCTATGAGGCAGCTGCTGAAGCGACAGGAAGAGTGCAGGCTTGCAGGAGGTGAGTTGGAATGCCTCTGTGCCTGCGCAAAGTGCGCATTTGGTACACGGCACACACGAAGTATATGCACGCGCACAAAGTGTACCCACCAAGCCACATCCACCGAACCGGTAGTAAAAATCTTTGAATCCCACCATTGATCTAAACCAATGAAATGTTGCATCTATAAATAGTCTCCAAAAAGCCTCATCTGAATACTACCTTGAATTCCTTGATGCCAGTATAAATGCTCATTGGGCCTGATTCATTTTCTCCATTGGGCCGAGTGTCTGCTACAATCTCTATAACCTGTTCCAAAGCTATTCTCATTCTGTGGAAGACTGCTCCTTTGTTAACACGGGCAGATTCACAATCAGGATGCCTTAAACAGGTCTAAAAAAAAAAATCAATAATTTGGGGGGGGGGGGGGGGAGAGAAACAATAAGCAAGCAGGTAAATAAAAATACATCAACACTATTTGGATCTTTCTGTGCTATTTACCAAGGTGAACCCCATTAATGTGTGTGTGTGTGTGTATCAGTTTCATCAGTGAATCAGCCACTACATTTGTTAACATTTCCTCTGGTGTCCCTCAGAAAGCTTTCTAGTCTCTAGACATGTTGATTGATGTGGTTTTAATCAATGCTGTCCCCATGTGTTCCAGAGAGCAGCTCTCAAATCTTTTGCTTTGCTGATAACAAACAGAAAAAATTAGTTACCTTGGAAGCAGTGAGAAGCATCATGGTACATTTCTCAAGAACAGATCTAGCAGCTGCCATTTTAGCTTTCTTCTTTTCATCTTTCAGATCCTAAGGAAAGAAAAGCAAAACCTCCTAACGGATACGAATAATTCTTGACAAAGGGAAGTACAGGACAACTACTAAAAATCAAAGCATGTCATACCTTTTAATTAATAATAATAAAAAAAAGACAGATGCCTGACAATGATATATGGAGAGAAATTTGGGCAGCTTTTCTGTTGCTTCTGAACTATTAGATTCATGTGGATTTCATGCTCCGTTCCAAAGCGCCCCATAGGCACCCAAACACTTTTCGCCCGGACAGAGAAATGGAGAAGACTCGAACCTCTCATTTGCCAGCAGGCAAAGCTTCGTCTCCCTCTGGGCAAAAAGTGCACGGCAGAGGCACGGGGTGGGGTGGGGAGACAGGAGATCCTTAGCTCCGTTTCAAAGCATCCCATTTGCAAGCAGATAAAGCTTCAAGTCTCCATCATTTCTCCATGCGAGCAAAAAATGTGTCTGCCTTGGGAAGCCCTGTAAGCCATTGCAACCGCGGGCAAGCAGATGGTGGGAGAGCGGCCGGCCGCAAAATAAGATATTCCCCAAGATGTTAATTTTGCCTAATTCTTAGAATTCCAAATACAGTGAGAATGACCGCTGAAATAACTTCAGTCAGTAAAGGAGACATGTCTCATTTCTCTGATTTAATAAAATAAAACATTCCACAGATATTAACACAAGCATTTTCTTTTACAAAATAGAAGTTACAGACAATGAACTCAAAAGATTTAACAATTTATTCGTAAAATAGATTTGGTTGCAACAGAATTAAAGGAGCTGTCTGCTAGTATAGAACAATTAAAGGAACTGTTTGCTAGTCTAGACCAGGAGCAGGAAAAGTAACCATACTTTTCTACCACTTTCTTCAGGGTAGATAACAGCAGAGGGCAAGGCAACAATGTATGTCCAAAAGATTTAGAACAGGGGTGTCCAACCTTGGCAACTTTAAGACTTGTGGACTTCAACTCCCAGAATTCCTCAGCCAGCAAAGCTGGCTGAGGAATTCTGGGAGTTGAAGTCCACAAGTCTTAAAGTTG